CCATTGCTTCCTAGAACCGGCTGGCCCATGTATTAACCCTATGACAATGTATGACCTCAGTAGCCAACGGGTTACGAGTCTTAGTTCAGTGCCTCTTTAGCTCATGCCAGCATCTTTCATCTTTCTCATTAACTGTTTGATAAAGTTAAACATCTACATTGTATGTCTTATCAAGGGGGATGAAAAGGAGGGGAGATGACAGGAAAGATTGGTGTGATGTAAAATGTCCTTCCTTCAGTTATTGAAATATTGAACTTGATAGGTTTCTTTTTAAGATACTTCATGCAGACTACATCACAAGGTTTACAAACATGGAAGAGGAAGTGACTGTTCAAGATTCAAACTCTGAAGCTTGAAATCATTTTCGGTGTCAATTTTCAGAAAATGACAATCTAGCTATTTTGGCATGTGCACACACGGCGCGGGAAACTGTGGCATTTTAGCACAAGTTTTCTTTTTCCCATAGAAATGAATGGCAAGTGGGGGAAAAAAGTGGTAGCTGTGCACAACAGGGTTCCCTTTCATAGTCTACTTTCTTTTTAAAATAACAACTGCCACAGATCTTTGACAAATCTGCTCATAGCCAGCTAATCAAAAGTGAGGATTTCAGTAGCTTATTATAGTTTTTGTATCTTTAATATATGATAACAAGTTTCATGAAAATGAGCCCAGAGGTCCTGCATGTTGTGATTAATAGTAATAATATCGATCGTTTAGGAGTGCTGAAAACAAAGAGTTCCATAGCACATACAAAATTACAGAATGTGAAGCTAAGTATGAAATACAAAGACTCCTTAAAAAAAAGGTTTACATAGTCCTATGTGAAGAAGCCTTTGGACATCAAGATTTAGAGTACACCAAAGACATTCTTGTGCAGGATAATTGCCCAAGGCACAAAAGGAGTTCATTTCCATGCATCACTAGAAGAGCGCAAATAAAAACATTCCCTGAAAGTAAATCACATCCAACTTCCTGACACAATCCCATAATCATCAACTTTTGAAAATATGCGATTTCAAACTTCAAACATTCAAGTTCAATGATTAAACAACATGAGAAAAACATAGTGAAATACAACCCAAGGAAATGTCTTCAAGTCTTCTGCAGAAGATGAAAAAAAAACATGCCTCCTGACCTAAAACTGAAACTTTTAACAGTCGAAACGACATTTTCTCAGGAGGAATCGAAAGTAAACAGGAAATCCTAGCTTGAAGAATGTGAATTCCTTGGTTGGCATAAGAAATCACTGGTGATCTTTTCTGCAAAGGTGGATTAAGATTTCCTTTTACTTTTCTATTTTCAAATTCGCTGTTACAAGTCATATTTTTGTTGGTAAGGGAAATTCCCTTCCATGATGAACTTCAGTAAGATGTGTAATGATCTGTCTCCAGAGTACATGTAGTTATAAATCTCTTCTCTCCGATCACTATTGCTGATTAATGACTCTCTTTGACTACTACCCAACACTCTGGTCGCAGCGCGCTGAAAAACTCTTGGGTCACAGCTAGCTGGGCCAATTTTTTCTTAATGATGTCTTCAAATCAGCCCTACATGCTTGGAAGATCTGATTTTAAATTAGTGACTGTTTCTAACCATTTTTCAATGGGGGTGCATGGGGAAATTCACTTAAATAAGAAGTTGGAAGTTGCGATTGTTTTTTAAATGATAGGAAAATAAGGAGACAAGAATTAAGGCTGCCATTAGAAAAGACAAAATACTAGGTGGACAGAGTGGATTTTAGAGAAAGTGTAATACTACAAGGGAATGTGATAGGCCTATCAATAGGATAGAAACAAGGAGGAATGGAAAGAATTACCATTTTATCCATTTTTTCTTCAATTAGGGCAGTTTTATTTTGGGCGAAAAAATTACCACTAAACCCAGAACAAATTTGTACTGGCATTTATGAAAACTCTTTTTGCACTCTTTGATTTGTTCAGTATGACACCCATTTGAGAAAATTCAGCAATTCATTCTAGTTCTGTAGGAGAAAAAAATAATGTACTATTTTTCTTATGGTAATTAATTTTCTTTTTTTTTTAAGAACAAAAACTTCAACAGCATTTCATAACAGAAAGGAAACTAAGGTGAAAAGACCTAACTTATGACAATTAAAAAAAACCCTCACTGCAATTTAAAAAAAAAAATCAATGCAATTATACAATGAACATGTAAAGTGAACCAAGAATTTAACCATCTGATGGGAAAGTTACCTCAAATAACATTTGAGAGGTTAGTTGATGTTCTCTCAGATAACAAAAAACATTGCTTTGGGGGAAGTCCCTGAAGTAATAAGTAGCCAAGGATAAACCACAGAGGAGCAGTTGGATTTCAACTAATCAAAGAGAAATCTTTAGAAATATCAAGAGCTTTGAAAAGAACAGGAAATGATTTATACAGTGCCTCAAGTTTAATCAAAGACAACCACAAACTCTCTCTCTCTCTCTCTCTCTCTCTCTCTCTCTCTCTCTTTTCTCTCTCTTTTCTCTCTCCTTGTCTGTCTCTCCCCCTGGTATATATATATATCTCCTCTTTCTCTCTCTTTTCTCTCTCCTTGTCTGTCTCTCCCCCTGGTATATATATCTCCTCTTTCTCTCTCTTTCTCTCTCCTTGTCTGTCTCTCCCCCTGGTATATATATCTCCTCTTTCTCTCTCTTTTCTCTCTCCTTGTCTGTCTCTCCCCATGGTATATATATCTCCTCTTTCTCTCTCTTTTCTCTCTCCTTGTCTGTCTGTCCCCCTGGTATATATATCTCCTCTTTCTCTCTCTTTTCTCTCTCCATGTCTGTCTCTGTCTCCCCCTGGTATATATATCTCCTCTTTCTCTCTCAGTTTATAATCTGGACTTGTCTGTATCTCCCCCTCTCTTTACCTCTGTCCCTCCCAATTTCTCTCTCTCTCCCCCTTCGCCACCTCCGTCTCTCTTTCCTTCTTTGTTTATCTACATGCATCTCTCTGTCCATCTCTCTCTCTCTCTCACTTTATTTCCCTTTCTCTCCCCTCTTTCTTCTACAATGTTTCTTTTGATCCATTTCCTTCAAGTATTTCCTCTGATATTTCTGATATCTATTTACTTTAAGCTCTCTGAGTCATGCTACAGGTAAGTACAAGCATGATCTTATTATGTTAAAAAATATTACCTGAATGTTCAGGATTACAAATAAATGACATCTTCCAAACGATTTTGGTAGAAAATGCATAGGGGCTGATTAATGAGCATAGACAAATAAGGAAGCGGTTTTTATTGAAGATGATTCCAGCAAGTTTTTGTGAGTTTGTTTTTGTTTTACTGTTTTAAACAATCAATCTACTGCAGGATAAACAATCCAGAATGAATTATAACTATGTTCTCTCGACATATGATTCCCATACCAGAGCTCAAGATTAGCTTTAATCAAATGGGATAAACCAATTGATCTATAAATGATTAGAGGAAGGAGGTGCATGCAATGTACTCCAATTTACAGAAACATTCTACATTCAAAACGAATAGTTGAAAGAAAAGCAGGGCTGCAGAAATCTGAAATGTTACGACTAAACGATCTTAAAATGCCTCCTTTTTTTCAATTCCAAAGCATCTTTTATATATTAAATAATATTACATGAGTTCTAAGGCGGCAGAAAAACTCTACAAGAATTTCCTTCATGGTTCAAATTTTTTCCTGAGAGATTACCAAATTTGAATGAATATTGCATGAGAGAAAACTTTAATCTTTCCCCAAAGATTGTTTTTCTAAAAAAAAAAAAAAAAAAAAAAAAAAAAAAAAAAAAATTATATATATTTACTCTTGATTACACTCATTTGATGACCTTTTCAGTGTTGAAGATTTCACTGAAAGAAGAAAAAGTATAGTTTGGCAAATTATAAATCCTCATACTGTTTACCCCGACTTTTCTTAGCATTAGTTTATATAGTTATTTTGAGATTTTGAAAACACACAGGTCAACAAATCATATTTTCAGGAGAAAAGCAAAAATGCCACATCTAATTTCATTCCTATCTAAATGCTAATTTCTTGCGCAGGTTGACCAATCTACTTTTGGAAGTACATGTGCATGTATTATATACATGGATAGTCAGTCATATACTGGATAAAGAGGATTATTCATTTTTCATCAGAAAAGATAAAGTAAAACTAGCCCAAATCCATCTCCTAATGTCTGTTAATGGACATGCCAGAAGACAGAATAAGCAGGACAGATTAAAAGATAATCATACATATATGCCCTGGTAATCTATTGCCTCAAATATCATACTTTAGTTTATTTTATTTGATCTATTTTCGAGCATTCTGTCCTCATTTCTAAGATCAAAAAGAGCATTACAATAAAAGATTACAGGTTACAAAATTGATGACACAAATGACTGATGCTTTTATATCACCAAACAAAAACAAGTTCTCATGATGACCTCATATAAGTGAGCTCGAATGCAAGATTTTAAAAAAATTGAAAAGAGACGAAATCACAAAATCATCAAACTCATTCGGTCCCATAGTATTGGAAAACAAAAAGTGAAGAGCAGGAAAATGATAATCACAGGCAAAAATATGAAGGCGGCAAACATACAGAGGGTGACAGAAAAAAGGAGAGACTGAGAAAAATGTCAGGGAGAGAGGGCGAGGGGGGGGGGGGAGCAAATAAAAACGACAAATTTAAGAAAGAGGTGAAAGATGTGAGAACGGGAAGGAAAATAAACGGAGATGACAAAGAGAAAGATACAGAAGTCAGGTACATGTATGCCAGTTAGAATTGATCAGAGGGCCTGAAAATCACCTAGAATGAGCTATTTTGTACACATACATGTAAAAGCCTTAACTATGGTCTGAAAATAACTTGCCAGGGCCTGAATTTAGGCTATTGCCTGAAAACTGGCATCCCTGACATACAGTATGAGGAATGGGAGGAAATAAGAGATTAACGAAACAGAATATACTCTCTAATTAAAGACAACACAGACCAAAACACACAAACAAATAAATCAAGAAAGGTAGACGTACCTGTTCAATGACAGCCATTCCACCGTACCATAGTCGATGAACCTAATGTGACACATGATAATATCTTTCCTGACCACCTCAGTTATCTCAGCTCTATACCACCTCTCATCCACACTGTACTGGGCACAACATGGCATATCTGGAAGAAAAAATATCATAACACACAATTATCATCTTTAGACTTTAACCCCTTTAAACCTGAAAAGGCAGGGGTTAATTTTGTGCTCTCTCAGCCGTGGAGGGGGTGGGGGGGGGGGGTAGAAAACCAACCATCGGAATTCAGCCATGGAGTAAAAAAAGTATTGAACTTGGCACACAGATAAGTATCTCATAAAGAATAAGCCCAAGAGTTTCATATCTTTATCTCAAATGCCTGTTTAATTATTGCTAATCAAGTATTCACATATTCACAAATTGACAATTCTGCAATGTATACAACATGGGAAGATGTTAACTTTTGCACTGCACAGAGAGGCTATTTTTGACACTGTGCCATACATGTTGGTCAAAATTTTACAAATTTGGAGTCAAAAGATACATAACACTCTAGGCGAGAAAGTCATGAAAGCTTGCGGCGCAAAATACCTCTTCTTGAAAGTATCGCTGCATGCACGTTGCCCCCTCCCCCCATTTTCATGAATGGGTTAGAGTTTAATGTGGCAAGTCTGTGACACAAGCAACAAGGCATAATTGTACATTCAAACCTGTCATAGTACGGGCCCAAAACCTAAATTTATAATCAATTTGGTTATGAAGACTACTACATGTAGACCGCTCTCTATAAGAACAACGACATTGTAGAATATTACACCAATTTGGCTATACTCCTTGTATCTGCTGTACCTCGGGGTTATAGGCTTCAGAAGTGCTGAATAAAACATACATACATGTATAACATACACAGCAACATGTAAATGTACATTGAAGAGTCCATTAAGGGTCATCAGTATTGGTTACTCTAGTAGAAAAAACACTGTTTGGGCACTTACTGGGTGGCCTTTATAGACAGGTTGACTGTCAACATGTATCAGTATCTGTAATATAAATGGCATCTTAAGCAATCCCCTCCACCCCCTCTCCCTTTTTATTTTACTCCTAGGGGTCTCTTTTTACATTTTGACCAGAAATTGAGGAGGGACATAAGGGCCATTGCAAGAGTTATGGGGATAAAATCACTCGATATAGCTTCGTTTACAAGTTCTAATGATGGTAACAACGAACTGAGTTGCATACCTTTTCAAATAATAATAATAATAATAGTACATTTATAAGCGCGCAGAAACTATCCAACATTAGGTATATATTCTACTGCGCTACAAGAGCTCCTGATATGCTTAGATTTACGGTACAGTTAAAAAAGAAGTGTTTTCAGTTTTGACTTAAAGACGTTTACAGATGCAATAATAAATTAATAATATTCTGATCTCGTATAGCACATAGTATCTCCTGTCCTGCTACAGAGGTTTTGGAATTATGCACCTAAATAAAACAACCTATGTTATGTCCGTGTAGTTTACCATGAAAACAAATAACAAGGCAATGATTTGATTAATGATACATGAAGGATTCTTCACGAAGTAACTTGCAGTATTAAAGCCTATAGCAGGGAAAGCCACAGTAATCTGATAATGTACCGCAGAAGCCTTCTTTTCCCTGCAGAGGTATACAAACGACTAAATGAATGAAAAGAGCCAGTGATTATTCTTTTCTTGATGATTCTTGTAGCTGTCATCCCTCTGATACCCCGCCATTCATCATTTTACGAATTACTAATTGATAAGAATTTGACTTAAGGAAAAGTCGAAGAAAATCAGCATTACAGCAACGTGTAAATGTACAATGTATTACACGTACAGGTACATGTGCAAGCACATTTCAACACTTGAGATCATTCATGTTTTGTGAATTGAATTCATTTAAAAAGTGGTTAAATTATGGAGGAATCACACTTGAGACTTTGATCTCTACAAGTACACTGTACATAGCAAACAAAAACCTAGACATTACAGAAAAGGAAGGAAGGGAGAAGGAAAAGAAGAAAGAAAGAAAGACAGAATGAAAAAAAGAAAGAAAGAAAGAAAGCAAGCAAGAAAGAGCCATAAATTTCTACTGATTTTTTCTACTTTTGATAAAATCCTACTTACATGTATCTTTCGTATCTCGATACCATATGAATCAAAGTCAACTAAAATTTATGAATTGTAAAAGTACTTATAATCACTACCCCCCCCCCCCCCCCCCTCCTTTCATTTCTAGATATCTCTTCTTTCCCTTCTGAAATAGCAGGTAACTTGGTCAGCTCTTGGAAGCATGCGCAAGGCACATGATTGCTACATGTGCAGCAATGTGTTATTGAGACGAACCACCGTTCGTCCAGAGCCTTAGGGTAGCTTTGACCAGACACAGTATTAAAACCAAGGGTATTTAATAGTGACGTTCTTTCGAGGCCACTCCGGTAAAAAATTGGAAAACATTTTGAGCTTTGTAATGCTCCTGAGACACACAATAGGATCATAGAAGTTCATGAACTGCTTAAAACGGTAAATACAGGTCTGTAAATCTTTGGTGATGGTGACGTATTGTATAAGGATAGTTTTAAGACCGTTGGGTAGTGAATCTCTCATTCCCATAGGCTTAAGTACAGGAACCACCTGGTACCCGTTGGCAATGGCTTAGACATATTATACATGATAAAAGCCAGTTAACAAAATAATGGATAACAAGATAGGTGACCACAATGGTTGGAAATTTCTTCCAAAATTGTCTTCTAGTTATGACTTTAGCTTTAATTTAAGCAAACAAGTAAAGTTAACAACTAAATTATTCATACCCTTACCAATTTTTGTTATTTTTGAAGTATGTGCACTTTCAAACCAATGAATATGATTTCATTTTTTGTATCACAAAATTTTTCCATAGAATCAAGATTCTTTGATATGTGCTCCGTAACCAAGATTCCCGCCCGAGTTATCATTGGCTTAGTATTCAAGAGGTGAAAGATATCCTTACAAATTTAATTCAAATATCCTTTTTATACATCATGTCTGGGGAGGACTTAAAGACAGGACATGAAGTTTGTTTACATGTACAGTTAACGACTAAATTATCCATACCCCTTGTAAATTTGATTTTTGTTTTTGTTTTGTTGTTGTTTTGTAACTCAAGAATGAAAGATGGACTGGTTGAATTAAGACCTCTGTTGAATAGGTTTAAATGTATGCTTAATATTTCATATTTCCAAGAAACATAAATTGGGACATATCAATTTTTCACATACTTAAAAAATTACAAAAACTGGTAAATAATTTAGTTGTTAACTGTACTTATCATGTTTATCATGTTTGAGGAAGGTAGACAAATGAAATGTATTTTTCCTCTTCTGCCAGCACACCTCTAAAACCACTAATCTGCACCTCCAGCGGTAGCTTTCTGTGGATGGAACGGATCGACACCAGAATAGCTGGGATGATGTGCAGACGCGCGTCTTTAAAGATGAAATCGAGTTCTGGTCATGCGATAGCATTGTGAAAGAAACGTTGTGGAATCGATCAGAAAAGGTTGATCATCTAGCTTATAAGTATTGATGTGTACTGCAAGGTTCTGGAATCATCAAAATGATAAGAAATTTGGCCAAGTCTTGGTAAAGTTACAAACACTTGCACAGAAAGATGTATATGGGACTACACGAACACGTGGCGTAAAAAGCCCCCCCCCCCCCCCCCCCCCCCCCCCCCCCCGATTTTTACGATGTTACATGCATATTTAGAATATGAAGGCATTTGAAGAGCCATGCTTTTCAGGGAACATGTTTTATCTGATGTTCTTCCACACTTGCATAACAATGATAATGCTCCCAAATTATGGTTTACCTCTTCCCAGAACTCAACCTTCTCTTTAAGTATGTTTATTAAAACGTGCATGCATGTCTCACGTGATGGCGACATGCCACAGAAAAACAGGAGTTCGTAAATGATAGATTGTCTACCGAGGGGGCAGTGAAAAACAAGGGCGAACAACAGTACAACTTTGCTTTGATAAGATTAAGGTGAAATCAAATACAAAATACTCAAGGACTGTTGACCACTCTCACAGTATCATGTGTTTGCTATGGGGTTTATAATCGAATAATTAATGATTCTGCGGCTATCTTAGGGCTGTGAAGTGTTTATGTTGTGCCTTATTAAATGCCTTAATTTTTGGCAAGGAAAATACAGAGTATTGGCCATGGTATAAGTCACAAAAATCAAGGCTAAGACAAATTCCTGAAAAGCACACTGTCTTTTCATTACATAAGTTGCAACAATCACTACTTCTATACTTGAAAAAAAAAATCAAACTTGGTATTTTTTTAAATGCCCCCCCCCCCTTTTTTTTTTTTAGGGGAAATGATTTTCAGGTCTGCTTTAAATCATAAAAGCATAAAGCTTTTCCAGGGTTTATACATTTGTGAAACCGATCCTTACCCGGTTGTGGGTTGAGTAGGAAAGGAAGGTTAGGGGCCATACTGGCTAGCTGGGCGACGAGGGCCTCTGAACTGAAAGCTTGTTGTGCAGCGAGGGCGATGGTGGGGTCAGGATCGTTCATGGTAGTTTGGGTGTACTGGATGTACAGCTGGAGCAGGGATGATAAAATATTGAATTCAAATCAAGAGACTTGTGATTCAAATCGATAATGAATGCTTAGTGCTAGGTACATGTATGTGTAGGGCATAACAAAACAATAATAATATCTTTATAGCTTTCCCTCAGGAATTCTAAGTACGTTAACTGTAAAACATAATGTATGTTAAGGGGTTTGGTGCTTTTAAGCCTTGTTTAGAATTCTAGGGATAAATCAGCATATAGTTTATCATTACCATTTCGTTGGATGAAAAAAGAAAAAGAGAAAATCTGTCTGGATTTAGATCCATTCGTGAACCAAAAATCAAATAAAAAATGCCTTGGCTATAAAAAGAAAATGAAACCTAACATACTTAGAATAACCGATAGCCTTATAAAAAAATTGTGAGCCAGTTAAAAATATCCTGAAATTACTCCTATTTGATTATTTAAAGATTATACAGAACGATCTCTCCAAAGTCTTGAGTTTCTTTGGAGCTGCCCTTTTGATTGAAATTGTGACGTCCAAGCACAGTAGTACACATCCACTGACCTGCATTAGATGAATAGTGTGTTGTATATGACTGGCTTTTGTACATGAACCTAGAGTCAACGACACAAACAGCAGCCATGTTGTTTATTCCAAACTTTCAAACAGGTGGTTTCTCCGAGTTAGTTTGATAGTTCGATGTAAGTTTTTGTCACTCTTTTGAATAATTGCCAAAGATTTGTTTGACATGACGCTTGCCAAATATTGATTAACAAAAGAAACTGCTCAACTGTTTGAAACAGCTTAAACCAAATAGCTTGTAACCTTATGAAAGAATATCCATTCATTTGAATGCATTACAAAAAAGGTCTACTAGGAAACCAGTGTCATACATTTCACAGGTAAGTGTCCTACATTGTAACTAAAAATAGTAAAATACAGGTCAGTGGGTATCTCATAAATTGTACTACTCTGACATCACTATTTTAATCAAAATAGCAATTCCTATGGGAGAATGGCTAGCAGGAAACTGCAAATTTTGAGAGATTGTTTTCCTTGCTATAGTAATCAAATAGGAACAATTTCAAGATATTTTCAACTGGCTCACAATTTCTATTCAGGTTATCAGCTAAAGTTTGTTGGGTTTCATTTTTCCATTAAAATCCTAAGGAATGTCAAAAGCATAGATAAATTGTAAAAGCTAGTTTTGCATTTCTCATGCTTCAAGTAAAGCAAACATTTATAATTCTCACAAGGCAAGTCACCTCTTCAAGTTTCATACTGTACATGTAGTTGCCAAATTGAAGATTAAAGCTTACATTTACTTTATGAATATTTAATCAATTCATCAGACAACATTCTGGTCTGGAACATATCAACTGTATGGACAGAGGAAAAATACAAATACCATTATCACCATTTCAAATGACCTACCAAGTCTGGTTCATCCAGATGGCTGACTGTGACCCAGAAGTAAACCCCGACATCAGGGAGCATGATGGGATTGAACGTGTGACCCGGTATCGCCATCACCTCTTCCGTCTCACCCGCCTCGGCCACGCCCTGCAGAACGTTAACGACGGAGCGAGGGATTTCAGAGTTGTAGTGCGTGACATCTTCTCCATCCTGATATAGAGAAAGGATAAAAAGAGAACAAGTTAACCCATATGCTGCCATTAGATTCCGCCCTGCTATCGACCAGTTGTCTTCTGAATTCTCTCATCCAATTGAATAGGTTTATTAAATGATCCAACCGCTTTCTGTACGCAGTGGGTTAATTTGGTTTCAATAACAGCAGAAATGAGAAAAACAGATCAGTCAAGTTTATTTTAGACTTGTACCGGTAATCACTCGAACACACGTTGGTATTCAAGTAATGCACCTTTCCAGCTTTCTTTTCATTTGCTTTATTTTGAAGTTATCATAAAACATCAATTTTTTTGGTTGCTGATGAAGGATTACATGTATATCATTTGTTTGGATCCAGAAGGGCTGTAACTCTGTGTTAAATTATATGAGTTAACGTCCTTCTGGCTCCAAACAGAATGATCTATTTCATGAAAACACATTTCCAATAGTTATATTTAGGGTCCATGCATAATTTTTTTTAAATTGAAATTTATGATACATTTTTGCTGTAAAAACTAAAATCAGGAAAAAATACATGAAGAAAGAATTAGTTGACCTAAATGCTGCAACCAAGCACAGAACTGATGAATCACAAATCAAGTATCATGAGACAAATTTTCAATCATATTACTGTTCACCTACTTTTATACAATTATTGTAACATGATATAAGGATATTATACTTTAAAATTCATGAATACCTTTGGAATTTTGAGAAATAAATCAGTTTTTCCTTTAAAAAGAAAAAAGAAAATCAGGACACTAGATTTTTCACTTTTCAATTGTCAATTTCATGAGACAAGTTTCTTTCACAATGCCTTTCACTTCAGTATTCCCCTGTATTAGTTTTATACTAAAATTACATGACAATACTGATTTATAACATTTGTGAGCCCAATTGAATTATTTGAAGAAAAACATCTTTATCCAAAAATAAAATCAAGAAGAATTGGTAAGACAATAAGCTTCCACTAAGTTTACAAACAATATTATTTCTAATAAAATGTATTCCTTTTAGTTTTTACAGTTCATATAATACAAATTGTGATGACAAACCATTAAACTCATGAACACATTTTAAATTTCACCAAAAAAGAAGAGTTTTTAACACAATAAAAAATGTTTTTTAAAGCAAAACAAAATCAACTCAAGGGCAGTTTCAAGTTTACATGTACTTTTAATGTACATCCCATACAAATCATGTCCGGATAACATAATAAGTCATGTTCGGGCATTTCAATAGGTGACGCACAAGGCTTCAAATTACACTTTGGCTAATGATGAAGCAAGATTCTGATGATTAAAAAACCTGAAACATATAACCCCGCTCAGCAGCTTAAAAAAAAAGGACAAGGTTTGGAATGATTCTACATGTGTACATCAGCTTTTTGAAAAATTGCAAAATCTTTGCAGAATTTGATCCACTTAATGACATTAGTTAAAAATTTGTAAAACATTAGCAAAATATTAAAGCGTGACGGAAAACGAGAAAAGAAAACACAAAAGTTTGAATACATCTACAGGAACTTGTTCAACTTTAATGATGCTATGTGTTGTTTGAAGCTTTCAGGAATCTTTCTGGCTACACAGACTAAAAGAAAATAAGTTGCTCAACGTTATGACGCTCTTTGGAAACTTTGCAGATTCTTCCTCCCTAATCAAGAGGAAAACATCTGTAGTTGGTACAGGAATAGATCACTGCTTCTTACAGCCCTCCGGGAGTACCAAAGATACTCCATCTTCATCTACCTTATTGACTGGATGACGCTGTAAGCAGACTAATTAAAAAAACTTTGAACATTTAAACTTCCCCAGGTTTATAGAAAGTTGAATAGTTTAGTTTGGTTTTTAATGGAGGTTATTTTACCTGACTGCTTAAAGAAAGCATAAATGCTTGTAAGTAAGCAACCAGAGGACCGACGGCTTTAGGGCCACTCCGCGGGACAGAAATAGTAACAATAATGTCTTCTTTGCAATAATCTTCAAGAACTTAGCCTTGTAAGAAACGTTGGAGTTATCTGAATATGGAATCTTCATGTACATGTAGGTACATGTACATGTAACATTCTACACACATATTCCTCATAATTTCTAACAGGAATATTTACAAAAATGTTCTGTTCGCGATAATCTTCAAGAACTTGGCTTTCGCAAACTTTCACGCGGCTGTGACACAATCAAGACATAGAATCTGGGTGAAATATGATTGCATTGTTTTATCTCTCAAGAAACAATGTGGTTTTATATCATTACATTGTCTAGGGAAGTGCAGCTGCAAAAATAAACTTTCATCTGCCCCTCATGTCTCAAGTTTCGATGGCCTCCGGTAATGGATGGACCTCGCTTGATGAGGTTATAAAGGGAGGTTTGGGATGGTGTCAATTCCTTCAGGAGGTTTCCAATCATGGGCAGGGGCTCGATAATAGAACAACAGCCCACAAGAGTAATTAATCGCACAATGGCATTTTAAAGATAAACTTGAGTTCTGGTAAAAATAGAAAATGAATTCTCACAGTACCAACAAAGCCTAAAGTTAATGTTCAAGATTACAAAAAAACAACATGAACCAAACAATTTTGGTAGAAAATGTATAGTGGCTGATATAAGGAATATAAGGAAATCCGGGTAAGTAGGCCTGGCACCATGTGCTTATTAAACACAGGTCACTATAAATGAGAGTTGTGGTTTTTTATCAAAGTTGATGCCCAGTAAGTTTGTGTGAGTTTATTTTTATTTCACTGGTTCAAACAACCAATCTACTGCAGGATAAACAATCCCGAATAAACTGTAGCAATTTTTTCTCAAAACACGATTCCCATACCAGAACTCAAGATTATCTTTAAGATGATGCATCAAGTATCAAAGACTTTTAACCATGAAGATTGCTTTTCTTTGTAATCAGACAAACTTGGGATGGCCCAAAGATGATACATCAAGTAAAGCGATATTATTGACTTTCAACCATTGTGAAGATTGGTTTTCGTTGTAATCACACAAATTTGGGGGTAACCCTTTAATACCCTCATAGCAATTTTTAAAGAGGCTTTTTAATCTGTAAATTCTTGGAAGGGAGAAAGAAGTACATTAACGGGTGATACATGATTGGAGATATGAAAACAATAATAGTGCAAGAATAGTATGCCCATAATCTAGAACATTATTAATTGCATACAAATTAGAGTAAATTAAACATTAGGGGTAGAGATGACATACATGTACCATTGAAATTTTCTCACCTGTTCTAAGATGTAATGTATGTCAAGAAGGAAATAAAGGTTTCATACAGCAAAAACTAAAATGTTACATGTACATGTACATCACTACCGGTATTCAAAAGGGCCAAATAGTGACCAATTTTAAAAATGTCAGAAAAAGTGGTCACTCTTCAGCCCGTTAAAAGGGGGAAGTCCCCCTAATATTAAATTAGTTTAAAAGAAGCAGAAAATGGGAGAAACAGGTCAGCAAAATCGATTGAAAATAAAGAAAGTTTTGAATATTTTAAGGTGCAGTCAATCAACACAAATTGGCAACTCTTTGACGTATCCTGCAAGCTCCCCTCCCAATTGTCCTGTACTAAAAAACTTTTAAAATCTATACTTTCTCTTAAGAAAATTTTCAATCGTACACTCACCTTAAATATAGTTATTACACATATGTTTTGATACAAGGCCATTTGATACAAATCTATTCCTTTGTCATCAACAAAAGTAAATGAAATTTTATGACATTTTCAGTATAGAGCAGACTGAAGAGTAGCTTGCACGACACGTTAGTGTTGCCAAGTTGTGTTTTACTAATGACAACTTTAAAATTTCATAAATTTCCTATTTTTTTTATAGGATTTTGCTCAAAATTAAGCTAATTTGTTTCTCCTATTTTTCTGCCTTTATCAAAAGCATCGTAAATGGTGGACATCCGCTTTAAATGGTTATTTAACATCTTAGTTCTTCAGTGATACTTTATCTTGACCACAAATATTTCTCAATCTCTGCAGTTGAAAGCTTCTGCCTAAACCATCTACATAACCCAATATTTAAATGCAGTTCATTGACAATTGAAAGATGAACATATTACAAAAAACAATATAGTGATCATTTTATACGAATTACCTTTGCTCTCTTTACAGATTAATACTCAGACTAAAAAAAGAAGTAGGATGAAAGAAATGAAATGAGCCAATTTGGTGATTGGTTTCTTCAAGCATCTTCCATACGCCTCGACTTACTTCACTTATGGCTCGACTGAACGCTGGTGTGGACGTCCCGTCTGTGATGGTGCTTGCGTCATCCAGTCCCCCTTCATCCAAGTCGTCGCAGTCCGCGAGAAACTCCACAAGCCCATTACTCAGCATCAGTCTCACGACACTCTCGCCGGTAGGTAGGGTCAACTCAACCGTTAACGGTTCATCTTTCAAGCAAATAGCCTGCAGGGGGGAAGACAAAATTTCGTCAAATTCACAAGAATCATGTATCCATGGTTGGGATTGAATGGGACAGCACGTCCCACGGGGGAAGAGTCAAAAGCGATTGTTAACGCTCATCCATTGTATGAATCGCTTACAGGTGGATACAAAATTTGATAAAGTTCTATAACTGATAAGTCAGCAATGTAGTTCACAACAATTAAGGTTATCCTTCCCAAAATGTGACTGCAGGTGTAAAAAAACTAAATTTAAAACAGCTCTTTGAATAATGTATCCTTGATAGACAACACAATGGGCAACACTCCCACCGTGGGAATAGCTAAAATATTGAACGATAATGGCTCTTCTCTTTCACCGATTGCCTGAAGGAAGGACATTTTTATTTTAAGCATAGCTCTTTTCATCCATTCAAACAGTCTGTAATTGTCCTTGAGGAAATGTTTGGACATTCTGATATTTTAGTGAACCATTCTGCAAAGACTATGACTGACATTATTCTTTGCCTGTTCTTTCTTTTCATAAAGAAGCCTGACTTCCTATTTAGGTATATTTCTGTGGTAGTTTACTGTCCATGAATCTCCCTTTAGAAATATATTTTCAAAAATGTATATCATTTCTTCAAAAAAGATATGATATACAGTCATAAAATGGCCTAGTATACTTGAGTCAAACACAAGAGCCTATTTAAAAGGCTGCCAATGGTACAATCCATGTGAAGATGACCCACTGATATTAATTTTGCCATAAGCATTTCTTTTCAAAAGTTGCAATTATTGTCCAACTTTCAATAGTAATTACATGTAGTATAATAACATGTTTTTAAAACATTGATCGAGTTCATATGTAAGTTATTAACCTACATGTATTATAGGACCATGTTTTGTTGTTTGTTTGTTTGTTTTTAATAGGCACTTTACCCAGCATGTATGAATATGGCTTTAGAGATATTCAAAAGGGAAGCATTAACCTTTTTTTTATAAAAATGAACGGGGAATAGCTGGTAGGTAACATATCCAACATGTATAAAAACAAGGCTTAAGTTGTTTTTTTAAGGTTTGAGAACTGTTTGTCAGTTACAAACCATTTTGCAAATAAACTACCGGTATATAAAATGTTTGTCAGTTACAAACCATTTTGCAAATAAACTACCAGTATATAAAATGTCATAATTGACAGAAAATTATCTTTAAGTACAGCACTGTCCTATTTTATTTTCTTGTGCAAAAAGAACGATGGACTGTTCTATTTTCAATTTTTATCAACTATTAATAAAGATGTAAATTCTACAGGGAAAAACGACTCCATCCAGCTGATTTTGTTTCATTGAACACTGACATTTTTAGATAGTTAACCCAACATGTATGAACAAAGCTTTATTGCTTTATAAAGGAGGAAAGGACCTTTTTAAAAAGGTCGGGGAAACTGTTTTTCAGTGGTGAACCTTTTTCTCAAAAAACCTGCACTCTACGATTTATAATTCAGAGAAAATCATCTTGAAGGATGGTTTATCCTAGGGGTATGACAGAGATGTTAACAGCTATGTCACTCTCACTACTCTCAGCAATCAAGATTTCATTTCAATTCTTTCTTGTGTGACAGAAACCTGCATCAAATGAACTAAAACTTAACTATCTTTTCCATTTTAACACCTTAGAGAATACAAATTCTATGGAAAAACATCCTTTCATCCAGCTGATTTTGTTCCACTGAGAATGAAATTATATCTTAATGTTGCCAGAAGAACATTCTCTTTTACTTCAAAATTTTTCTTCTTGTATACTCTTTCCTGAATGGCTAGGGGGTATTTTTTCTCTCAAAAGCAAATAAAAAAGCTTGAATATACAGTGCGTCCCAGAAAAAAACGAAATCAAGAATTATCAATGTTTTATCATAACTTAGTCACAATTATAATTGATAAATGACATATGTTTGGAAAGTTTAGATCCTCCTCTTTCATTTGATGCAACTCATATAGTGCATATGTCACGCATGAGTGATGAAAATGAATTTGAAGAGAGGAAACCAAAAAGTCATTTGGCGGACAGTATCTGAATGTCAAGAAGAAAATCACATTTCTAGAAAGTTGAGTTTCTGCCCTTTCACATGACACCTCAATCAGGAAAAATGAGCAAGGAATGACAAAGTTCTGTTTGTTTAAAGTAGTGCTTGCATTTCCATAATTTTATCAAACGAAGTCGTTTTCACTGCCCGCCTGCCGTAGCAGCAAACAGAGTTGACAAAAGACATAACTCTGTTTCGTTGACAATCAGCCGTAGATGAAAGACTTCATGCATGGCTGATTGTCAACGAAACTGAGTTAAGTCTGTTGCGAAATAAGAATGTTTTCAGAGTTACATAAACTATTTCCTAAGTTTATAAATGACAAATAGCAAAAGGATAAGGATATCTTCACAAAAAAAACTTTGTGTGTAGCTACTAGCTAGAATTGAACATCAACATTACAAATAAATTACTAATCATTTTATGGGTTACAATTTACATAATGCAAAGAAAATAAAAGGATAACATAAAAATCTCTTGCATGGAAACCAAGTCAGACTTAAACCATGAAAAGATCTATCACACCAAAATGGATTCATTGATGGGGTTCATTTCCTGCTTCATAAATGATTAAGTTGAGATTGAAGAGGCAATTTTACTGCCTGAAAAACCTCTTTATTCATCCTAGAAATAAAAAATCATATACACTGTAGAAAGGGGGGAATTGACGTCACATCACATTATTACACTTTTACCTAATACATCCATCATTTTTCGCCATCAGCAAATTTTGTAAACTAATTTTAATACGAAGCATTGCACCTGATTACTAAGCAATGATTATTATTATAAAGAGAGATCAGGTTTGACAGCACTAGCCTTGTCTGTCAACTGAAACATTCTTAATTGTAATACGTTCATGTACATGTAATTAGTGAGAATAATAGTTGGTACTTACATCTAATCATCTTTTCTTTTTCTACACTGTACAGTATGTCCTATTCATTAGTGAAAGAATGCAGGAAAAATAATCCTGACTGGTTTACCAATTATTTTTTCTTTTGTAGTTTTTGCATCTCAAAGAAAATGAACAATCCCTCAAATTTGTGATTTTGCATCACAGTCATTCTTATTTTATTATAGTTCTAATATAGAGTAACAATACTTAAGTTAATTTGTCTCTTAATTTTCTTTATGTTTGTTTGTAAACAAAAAAACAGAAGATTTAAGTGACAACAATTACATGCAAAATTGGATTCTCTGAAATACTGCCCTTTTTTTTTCTTGGTCATCTACATGTAATTGTTCATTGGGCTTACAATTTATTTAGTCTAAACTCTAAAACACATGTTACGACAAACATGTACATGTAGTACAACTAATGAGGTTGTAATGAGTTTATTATGCTTGTACATGTGCATATTATTCTTGTTTTATTAATCTTCTGCTTAAATAAAAAAAAATGTTCATTACCAAGTTAATTGAGCAATTTCTACACCGTAATTGCATTTTTGTAGTAAGAATATAAAGTCGCGCTGGGAACAATACATAATCAGAGTTATGTTATCTCATTAGTGTACCTCAAAGAGGGTATATTATTAATTTAGAAAAAGAAAAAGAAAGAAGTAGAAATTAATGAATATTTAGGTTATTAATGAGTATGACCATACATTAATCATTAATGTCATATTGTCATAAAAATCAGATAGTGATTAAGCTTGTTTTGAAGGAGAAAAACAAAAACAAACAAACACAAGGTGCACAAAAACGAATAAAAGGCAAGGGGCACAACAAATAACACCAATGGGGCGCACACACAAAAAAAAACGGGGGGGGGGGGGGTAGGGCAAAAATGAAAAAAAGAACCTGATCAAGCCTGTAACATGATGTATCATTTCAAGACTTTCTTTTTCACAATAAACATGTACATATAATCTGTCTAAAGCATTTTAACTGAGTCTCTAGTGGATCTTTCCCCCAGAGTTTTTTTTAACAAATGAATGGATCTGACAAGTCTGCCACCTTGCAGAAAACATACATTTTGTATTCTTTCATCAATATTTGACTTCAAACACATTTGTTTTGAAAATCCTTGCAGAAATGTGTCTTAAATGACATCCTCTGTCACATTATGAAACAAATTTAAGTGAGATTCTGCCATTAAATTGTTGGTGCTCCTAACAGTAAAGAGAGGATTTAAAAACAAAGGAACAAAAAAATACCTATATCAATAACACAACAACAATACAAATCCTAAGAATTGAAATTGAAATTAAAATTAGGGCAATTTCAATATTCTGATCGTATTACCTATAGAAACTCTGTTTAGATTGTATCACCATTAGGCCTGGCTTCATCAGCTCAAGTTTGCCAAATAACCCGTTATTTTAGCTATCCCGATCGCAAATCAGCCATTTAACTTGCATATTCAGCCCGCAATTGCAATTAGCGGGGTAACTGGTTGAGAAAAGATCCCTAGAAATCTTGGTCTTGTTTCCAAAATATCCCGCTGTTTGGGAATTTACGCCCATCCAAGCAAGTTTTTGACGAAAGTAACGCTCTGGTAAAGACGCAATTTCAAGCTTTGGGATAATATCCCGAGTATGAAATAGCAGGTTATTTGGCAAACTGAAGCTGATGAAGACAGGCCTATTGTCCGGTCCACGCATTTCAAAACATGATTCCCAAGGCTATTGAAATTGTCTTGGGTTGAATTTTGTTAACAGTCTTTGTAGTCATGCTGAAAGGTGTGGATGGTTTAATTGCTTACCTTGATATGAGCCACACAAGTCTTCTCTACTAATGTCTCCAGGAGAAAGGAAATGGCACTGGCTGACCAGATTTTACTTGGTGACTTCTACAAAAAGAAAGAGAGGAAATTATTAGCTGATTCAATTCATTTTTTCCCACTTTCATTCAATTTACAAATCAACAACAAATACATATGAATAGTAGTGGCGGGATCATGAGAAGCACTAATTGGCTTATTAAAAATGACCCATTAACGAGTACACACATAACATATTATACACTGTAAGAAAATATCAAAAATAATTACAGGAAAAACATAACATCAAATTGCTTAACATGTTAAAGGTCTGTGAGACTGAGAGTTTATCTGTCTAGGGGGGGGGGGGGGGGAGATTGAGAGATCCAAGAGACATAGAAAATGTGAGATACCATGAAACCTGTATATAAAGACCACTAAAGGGAAACAAGAGTGGTCTTTATAGGCAGGTGGTCTTTATGTACAGGTTCCTGTATGTTTCGATGAGAAACCACTTTCAAGGGAAACAAAATATGTGGTCTTTATAGAGATGTGGCATTTCTATACAAGTGGTTACAAAAGCATGTTTGACTGTATAAAGAGAAAGAGCCATGGGTGAAGTGGCCAGGGTTGTATGATACACTGTACATGCTTTGGTAGCTAACAAATTACCAGACTCTAACTCTGGACCGTAACTACACCTGTATACCATACCTGCCAACATTTAAAAATGAGAATTAAGAATTTTTAGCACGGCATGTCTTCGAATATAAGAAATCTGTACCCTTAACAGGCGTTCGCACATGCAGCGGCAGTGTAACTGGCAATACGCGGTAAATCTGTGCAAAAAAGCGAATACAAATTCGCTGCTCAATCATGCAGCCCTTCAACGCACGCAATACGCGAACTCTCACATCGCGGCATATGATAAAACAAGCTTAGTTTGGCTTAAGCAACAACAACAACAACAACCAAAAAAAAAAAAAAATCAAAATTTTGAAAATCCGGGAGATTCCGGATTTTGGGGTCCTAAAAATCCAGAAAAACAGGATATTCCGGATTATTCGGGAGGGTTGGCAGGTATGCTATACCTTTACCCTAACGCCTTACCCTAACGCCTGACCCAAAACCAAATTGTAACCCTAACCTTAACAGTTAACCCCAAATCTTTGACAACATACATTGCATGGGTAAAACGCAGAGTAAATATCACAGGAGCAAATATCAGGTCGACACTGACAGCTGTGTTCAACAAGCATCACCATCATCTTTATCATCATCATTCATACAATGGTTGTTATTTACAGTACCTGCATGCTTTGTTTTTTCAATTCAAGTTGTTGCTAAAAATGCTAAGATTGGTTTTAAGGTATGAATGTGTTTAATAGCAAAGAAAATAATACTAAGCTGGAGGAATTGATGAATATACTTTAATTTTTAGCCAATGTTTGTTTTTCATTCAATCATTGAGTAATATGTATTGAAATTATAGAAATAAAAACCTAGTTTGAGAGAGAAAACAAAATTATCATCATCATCATCTCCATCCTCACAGCAATCATCTCGCTGAACTCTTTTGATTAAAAAAAGAGATACTACCTGAAATGTACCGTACTTTGTTTAGATTAAGGAAGAAGTTGGGGGGGGGGGTAAATCAAAGAATTTGACTGAAACAAACAGGGAATTAATTGCTACCAATTAGTACATTGTACATTCATATCTACTAAAGATTGATAAATATGTTAGAAAAAGACAATTCAGTAAACGATTGTTATATACAGTTAAGAATTTGTCTGTTTTGGCTACAGTAGATCATCAAATCCCCAAGAAGAAAACAAATTTGACAATGTTGAGAAATTTTCTAGAACAGGATAATCTAATAAAAGAATGTTTCCTCCACATATAACAATAAAAGTCAACCAAAAAGAGAAATATGTCAGCCTCAATTTAATTTGACCCTCTCATTTTGGCAGCAAACCAATCTAGCTGATGACAAATGATGGTTGTTTACAGGGCTAAAGGCTTATGTGAAACTCACATGAGATTCATGTTGGGGGCGAATCTATTGTACTTTCTTAAAATGTCTACCAGACATCTATTATCCTTAGTCTGGAGCTCCAGGGAAACCTCTGGCAATGTTGTCTCTCATGTAATTGAAGATACAGTTAACCCTTTCACAACAACCATTCCACATTTTGTTGGTTGGATCAATAACTTTAGATTCATGGGCACAAATTTCTGCACAAACTGCATCCACGTTTGATGCATGACTACAGTATATTAAATGTGTTTGATGCCAGAAATAAGGAACGTATAAATCCTTAAATTAGCAACACTTTGAGAGATTCAAAATCATTGTTTTTCAATCAAAATTTGCCATTTTGCCAACTTATCAAAAACATTCTCGCCCATGTATATTATTTGTAGAGACATTAATTTTTATTAACAATGTAGCATTAAAAGAAAAATAGCATTGTTGCCAATTTGAAGAATGCTGTGATTATTCTAGCCCTAAAAATCCACCCTGTCCTGAAAGGGTTAATGACCTTTGGTTTCTAAACTGATGATAGAATGTCTGCTGAGAGCCAGAAGTGAAATGCCAATGCAATTAAATGCTGTTCTGGCTCTAATATGACAATATCCCTCTAATGATAACTTCATATCTACTTTAGATGTCTTGTAGACCATGATTTATGAATTTCTGACAACCACTTATCCAAAAAATTCATTCAATTATCTCATTAATAGAAAATAGAGCTAAAGGTACATGTACATGTAGATGCTATTTGGTATATGAATTGTATGTATTTGTGAATGTATCCAAATTTTAAAGCAAAAGGAACATTAAATGACAAGGTTAACATGTAATTGGAGAACATTTGCAACAACAAAATATTTTGTCCAAATGCATCAACATGAACATGAACATGTACTTCTACAGTATAAAAATCAAATAAATAGAGTAATGTGTCAAGCATTAGGCCTCATTCAGATATGTAGGGACACTGATTTTCCGCGATCACGGAAAACGGACGGAATAAGCCAGTTCACGGTTGCAGTCTGAGCATGAGCAGATAAAGGTCATTGCAGAACAAATTTTGAAATACACGGAGACGAAATACTGGATACGTGCTCATGAAAGTTATGTAACATTATTCATTCATGCACATTCAGTGCACTCCATGATAGGTGGAAGTATTCTTCAAAAAGGATTCTTTGAAAAGGGGAAACAAAGGATATTTATATAGCACCTCCATCGCTGTAGGAGTGATTATTTCAAAATGTACAAAGTGGGACCTCTTCATGTTTCGAAGATCTGTGGATATTCGGGGTCATTGCAGTAATGTGCTAACCGTGAACTGGTCTATTCACGGAATTGACCATTTGAAACGGAAAATGCAATTTCGAACGGAAAATCGCGGAAAACCCCTTTTACCTCAAAACTTTTCATTTTCAAGAAGAAAATCGTAAAACTTACACTATTTTTGTGACTCGTTATGCAGTGAAAAAATATTGGGCCTCAAATCATGGTTAATAATTCCGAATATTTAGCGATATTCGTCAGATTCTTAGGAGACCGGGCGCTGCCATTTTGTTTCGCTGGACCAATAGAGATCGTGACACAATACACGGTACAAATAGCAGCGAAACGATCCTATTATGCCAGCTAGGCGCCTAGTATTACGTAGACGTAATACTAGGCACACACACGCCAGCAGCAGGCGCTACGTGCGGCGAGATTGTACTCACGCTGTTGTACAGTTCGAAAAAGGGGCTGGCATGTGCGCCTAACATCGATCGATCGCGGACATGACAGCCAAGACTGAAATGTTTTCGTTGACGTCGGTACTCATCCTTTCCGTCAGGAATATGTCGTGTTCTGACACATTCCGCTGACTTTAGTCTGCTTGTCTAAGTTCGAATTTGAAGTTGGTAAATTTAAACATTTGATAATTTTTCGTAGGTCTAGCCTAGACTCTCGGGCCCGTAGGGGTCTATATTTTCACTAGTATTTTGCTTCAAGTTTATCCAGTCCCGTCCGTATGTTTTTGAGTGGTTATCAGTGGCTTGTCAAAGGTGGCGGCTTTAATAGTACATTTGTACCCTGCAAGTTCATGTTTTAATGAAAATCTTATGTAAACAGAATTTTAGTTTTTTCATGTGTACAAAGTCTATGGCAAAATGGAATTTCCATTTTTCAGCCCACCTGAAACGGAATTCCAGATTTTCTGAAACGGAAAAGGCCATTTTTTGAAACGGAAAATCAGTGTCCCTAGATATGGCACAACAAAACTGCTGCTGTTTTATGATAACGAACGTAAAGTGCAATTCGCTTCATATTTCTGTACCTTATAACACAGAGATCAGTGAATATGCCCAGAAGCTCATGTAGTTGTGCACGGTTGCCATTCATCTACACGCAAACAAATCATGGCGTTTTCTTTTCTTTCTTTTTGGGCGGCTGTTTACCAGGCCATATCTGAATGAACCTTTATTGGGAGCAATATAATCTAATTGACAACTGGGTGACGGTGTTTACAGGGTTAATCGCTCATGTGGGGCAATTAAAGAGAGCCGCAGGAGGGTTTAGCTTGGATCTCCCACATGTTTACATATGCTGAGGGCACCATGGACTATGTGGTGCCCTTGAGGCTACCTGTCATCGTGGGTGACTGGCTTAGGAGAAGATAACATAATTACACAGCAGTGGGGAAAGGATGGAAGATGGAAACGAGGGCAACAAGTTGGATCTATTATGCACCGGAGTGAAGGGTAGTATTTGGTAAAATGTGAGTCTTTCAGTCATTATATTCTAAACATTTCTAAGAATGTAGCAATATGTTGCCAATTTGAAGAACTTTGTGATTATTCTAGCCCTAAAAATCAATTCTGTCTTGAGAGGGATTGACTAATTGACTAATTGACTTGAGAGAGGCTAATGACTTTTGGCTCCTAAACTGATGATAGAATGTCTGCTGAGTGTAAAAAGTGAGCCAGGAGTGAGGTGCGAATAAAATTAAATGCTGTTCTGGCTTTAATATGACAATATCCCTCTACTGATAGTTTTATATCTACTTTAGACAGGGGAG